TAAGTATATTAACAGTATTCAAATCTACAGGAAACATCTTGTAACTTTTGATGTATTGTGATGTCCAGCAAATATCTCAGATCATGTTGGGGTTCATGAACATTGTGCTAAATATTTTGAGCAGCTGTACCAGGTAGACCCTCCAACAGTTAGCTTGGATGCAAGTGGTGTCATAATACCTGTGCCAGACCCACAAATCAGCGAGGAACTTCTACCCTAACAGAGGTTAAGATGGCAATTTCTAAGTAGAAGAGTGGGAAAGCTGCTGGCTTGACTGTCATCTAGCAGTCTGGTACCATTCCCCTTGACCTGTTGAGGAGCATGGTCATCCCTCTCTGGAAGGGGAAAGGGGATCTTTGGGACTGTAGCATCTACTGTGGCATTACATTGCTCAGTATACCAGGCAAGAGTTTTGCCCACATTCTTCTTAAACGGATCCACAACCACCCACTAAGGCACCAGCAACAGGAGTAATCTGTATTCACTCCTGGCAAGTCCACAGTAGACCGTATCCTAGCACTTTGAGTAATTGTGGAACACTGTCGTAAGTCCGGTTGTGGGTTTCTTGCGCCTACATCCACCTCAAGAAGGCATGACTCATTGAGAATTGTTATGGGCCGATTATTGGCCTAATAGCAAGCCTATATACTGGTACTGAAAATGCTCTAAAGTGTAGTGGGAGGGCTACCCTCATGGGCATAACCCGAGCGAGGCTCTGCCGCACAAATCAGACAAAAAAGTGTAGTGGGAGCCTGTTGAACTTCTTCACTGTTAACCCAGTGTCAGTGGGTGGCAAGACTTCAATGCCATGCCCACCTGTAATAAAAGTTTATCACCAAGGAGTCAGCTATTAGTCTTACCTATCTCCTCTGTTTACCATTTTCTTCACTTTTTGAAAGCTTCATTTATAGTATTTGATTTGATTTAATGTTATTGATATTTTAATAACAATTTAATAATCATATTATCAATAAGAATGGTAATGTCAATATTGATAGTTTTGGAAAGAAAAACACATTTTCCTGCCAAATCAAGGAATGGGAAATTAGTCACTAAGGCCAACTGATAGACTCTTTGCTGGCTGAGCACACATGGAGATATCTGTCTGTAACAAGGCTCAATAAAATGTAAAGGACAAAGTAAATAAACCCACTGAAATTGGGTTAATTCAGTGGTGAGGCAAGGCTGTGTCCTTGCACCAACATTTTTCAACACCTGCATGGACTGGATAATAGGCAGAGCTACTATCCAAAGTCAGTAAGGAGCAACACTGGGTAATATCAAGTTCTCAGACTTGTACCATCAGTTTTGCTCTGTGGACGGGAAACTTGGACTTTATCTAGTGCCATAGAGTCTTGATGCCTTTTGTAGCAATTCTCTTCACTGGGGTATAGTTGGGAGGACCATATATCCAACTGACAGCTACAATGTGAGACTGGCATGGGACCTGTTACTTAACCCATTGCCGCCTGGGATGGCATGTACGTACATGCCATGCCCACTGTGAGTTGACTTGTTTGATTGTTTATACACATAGATGGCTACACTTGTACTAAGTATCCAATGAGCCAATTACAGTACTGCCTGTGTCGGCCGTTCACCCTGTTCATCGATTTACGAAAATATTTAACGTTATCCTAATTTGCTGTTAAAAATAACACTATCTATATTTATAGCACTAGTAAGAATATGTTTTTTCTTGCCAATTCAAGGAAAGGTGAAATCAGAACTAGCAGAGCCATCTATGGACAGAGATATTTCACAAAAATATAAAAAATGAGTACTGCATTTCCCCCATTTTTTGTTCATTTTCCCCGGCGGCAATGGGTTAATTTGGGGTCGTCAACTCATGCTATATGGGCACCTAGCTTATTTCCCTGTGGATGGCTCTGCCCATCAGGTTGTCTTTCTGCAAGACAATCCTAGTTGGAGGAGGCCCTAAGACGACCTAGGAGGTCATGGCTTGGGCAGCTTGACTACACACACACACACACACACACACACACACACACACACACACACACACACACACACACACACACACACACACACACACACACACACGCATACATACACACACACACACACACACACACACACACACACACACACACACACACACACACACACACACACACACACACACACACACACACACACACACACACACACACACACACATACATTTACTCTTAGACATGAAGACTAAATGTTGATGACTACCATTAGCATATTTTCTCTTAAGAAATGATTGTGTGTTCCTTCAAGATCATGTTTAACTGAAATGTAATCTGAATTTGGTGCATGCTGATGTACGTATGAACATAATTAATATTATTTGATCTTTATGCAAATCTTTATTTTCTTTATGAATTTTCTACTGCTATATAGTTTGTAGTTTATTTGTACTCACCATGACACTGTGGCCATAGTCAGTACTGTACCCTGTGAACATATGACAAAGAATGTATACTTTGTACAGTACTAAATGCTTTTTCTAAACAAAACTTTGTGATTTAGACAAAACAAAGCTAGATGGTTTTATAAAAAAAACAATGGAAATTACTATGAATGAATATGCCTATATATATTGAGTGCGCTTATTCTCAGACTTGAATATACATAATGTAGCTGCAATATCAACTTACCACTCAAAATGTCAGCCATGAAGTACATTTCCAGACAAATTTCACCTACTTGCATTGGCATACTCAGATTTCTACTAATCCAAACATTGTCATCTTGAGCTCCCCAGTACATTGAATGCTAGTAGCACAATAAAAATGCATAAATACCATCAATGCACTCAGTAAATAATGTTTTACTGACAGAATGAAAAGAAATTAATAAAAACAAGGCATGAACTAGGCAAGGGTAGCATCACTGACAGTTGTGAATTCATTTATTTAATCATATTAAAAGCATGTGACTCGTGTGCATATTTGAATTCATAGAAATGGAACAGATACATGTCTTAAGTATGTTTTGTCTCAGCATAATGTGACTTAAGATAACCCTAACCACCTCAGGCTATCCAAATCTAGGCATGCAATTGTCAGGTATATCCAGAATACTTTAGTCATTTGCAACTCCCCCCCTCCCCCCCTCATTTTTTGCCTTCTGTGGCTGAAGGGGATATCAGACATTGTGAATAGAGATAAATGAAATGAAAGATTGTTTGTGTAATTGACATTTTGATAGCTACATTTTCCCAAGAATTATGCAACCTTGAAGAAGATATTACAATTGAAATATTAAGTATCCATCTCGCATTATGAAATCATTTATAGTGATTCATACCATTTTTCAGCATATAAAAATGGAGTTTATCTCACATATCCTCCCAGTGACTATTATTTGTTCTAATTTCACTTTGAGCAGAGGGCAAAAGGGAAGGGATTCCAGAAAGTAGATGGCCATGAACAATTTTAAAGGTTTCCATAACATTTTTATTTAGATGTTCATGTACCAAAGGGGTTCATTATAACATATGCCAAGAAAGAAACAAATAAGAACAGGGAAGACAAATTAAATCAAAGTTCCTGATTATCTTGCTCATCAGGAATGTAAACTTTTAAACAAGTAAAAGCAAGAACTAAAAGGCATAAGGAATACAGCTGCTTTATACTGTCATTTTTTTACCATATATTTTGTTCTCATCATAACTTCTTCATTTTACCAAGACACTTCAGTAAAAACTATAAAAAATAAAGAAAAGATTTGATTATATATAGAAATCTAATGTTATAATTTAAGTTGAAATATGCTAGTAAAAGTTCTATTATTATTAATAGATGCTGTTATTGTTATTATTAAGCAGACTAAACCAAACCAGTGCATGCTAATATTACTAAATGCATATTCTATTGTGTGTACATGCAATCCAGTGTGTTATGTAGAGTATTGAGTTAAAACAGCTGTGCACTAATAAACCCTAAAGATGCCAACCAATTGCAGTATGTTGTCTGTGTATATCTATTAGAAGTAACTGTTCAGATGAATATCCAGTGGATGGTACTTGATGTATATATAAATACTATTGTTCATTTATGATAACCAAGAAAGTTAATAAGTATGCATGTATATAAGAGGATGAATATTACCCAAAGATACATTAACCCATTAGTAAAGTAAAGAGGGCATAGTGGCAACAGCAAATAACTGCATGCATAAAGTCAAGATTAAGAATGGAGAATTGTTGATGAAAAATGTTTTCCAAAGTCAGACACTTGACTATATTAAAGCAGACAATGCTTATTCTCGCACGTAACTCATTGACGGGAAATCTTTTTTATGGCCTTCAATGCCGTCTTCACATTTGTGGATTTTAGAGTCTCTTGGAGCACGGAGGGTTAAAAGTTCTGATTTTGTTAATCAGAGACAGCACATAGAGTTGATGGTGTCTGCAACCTAAGAATTGAAATGGTTGTTTGCTGTATAGTTCTTGAAAAGTAAAATGTATGATTAATGTTGCTTATTCCTTCTTTTGATATTTTTTCTTTGGACAAGGTACTGTTAAGTTCTAGGAATTTTTGTATATTCATAAATTGATTTGGTTTTTTATTCCATTGCTTATATGAAACACAATATTTCTTGAAAACTAACATACCAAAAAGCAAAATTTCTTTGAAATACTGTGGAAAGCTATGGCACATCTGTTAAAATGAAATGAGTAATAATAAAAAAAAAATACATATATATAAATGTATAAAAAAAAAGTATAAAGATAGAAAAAAATGCTTAGATTTAGTAAAGGTTGAACTTTTGTGGCAGGAAGTTCACTTTCACTCAGAAGTCTGGAAGGGGATGTAATGTCTCCACTAAGATGGCTTTGACTCATGCATCAACAGTGATTCTGTCGGGTCTCTTGATCACGGATGGATCATGAAGGTTTAATCCCAACCCTGAATCAAAGGAGCATAGGTTGAATATTAAAAGTTTGCTGTTGCGATTATAGCACCTAAACTTTCCTATATCAGAAGATGCTCATCTTAGTTGAT